TATATATAATACTGATATTAAAAGTGCAATAATAATACAATATACCATAGACAGGGTACATTATTATTATTATTTTTATTATTATTATTATTATTATTACTATTATTATTATTATTATTATTATTATATAAATAAGTACCTCAAGTATCTCTTGAACAGTGCATTTTAGGCAAAAATGTTTCAAACATAAGTTTTATAAGTTCAACGGGGACACAGAGATGCCATTGCAGGTTGTTCCTCTTATTTTCATTTTTATTTAAAAAAAAATTATATGTAGTGTTTTGAAAAGCTTTCGAGGTAAGCTACGGGAATATGAATAAAAAATGGAGGAGTTGTATTTAAAATAATGAAAGTGACGTTGTCTTGTCCTTAACAACATCACCTAAGATGAAACTACAATAATAGTACTTCTTTATGTCTCTCCCTTGAAATTATTAAACTTTTGTCTGAAACATTTTGTCCTAAAATGTACTGTTCAAGACGTATTTGACGTAATCATTACAAATGAGACACCTTGAATTACATATTTTTTGGAATAATAAAATCCCTGCCGCAAATTTATTGTCGCATATAAATTGGCATAAATATGAAGCATATTAAAATTCGGTATCAATCTACAGTATCAATCTAAATAAAGTATTAGGGTATGTTCCGAGTTACGCATGAAACGCATGATGTATCATTTATTCTTTTTGTTTATCAATTAATAAAGAAGGATAAAACGATTCATCATGCGCTACATGCGTACAATATTTATCTATTTTATTAAGAAAAAAAAAGACAATGAGGATCATCGCTGCCACAGGTGGTGTTGCAATTGCAGCAGCTGGAATCGAGATTGCAAATGCAATCTTAACAAATCCAGCAATTGCAGCACAAACTGAAAGAGCAGGAGCTGCAGCAACCGCAGCAGGAGCTGCAGCAACCGCAGCAGGAGCTGCAGCAACCGCAGCAGCAGTAGGAGCTGCAGCAACCGCAGTAGCAGCGGGAGCTGCAGTAGATGTGGGAGCGGCCAAGAGGTATTATTTCTTATATTATATGTATATTATACACGTACAGGATGAGTGTAAGATATTTTATACCTTAGTGTGGCACACATTTGCACATTAAATATAAAATACTGTTCGGGAAACTCTCTTACGCCCGACTCAGCAATGGAGATAGAGCGTTCGAGAGATTTTATATGAGCGCTGCGTAAACAATGTAAAAGACATACAGCGTGGATGAAGGAAAATGAGCAGGCACTTTTACAAAAGAAGAGGGTTTACTTAATAATTAGAGTTATTTACAGTATTGCACAGTTGTGAGAGTAGCAATTCTATTGAGCAGTTTGATGATTCGCACAAGGCCGATCCAATGTACTGCCCGTTGAGCCGGATGACCGGCTACAATCGTGCAAGCACTCTAATGCTGAGAAGCACTTGCACAGAACCATGAGCAGTCCTAATTAATGCACAGGTTGTAACGAGCTGACTCTTAATCGAGATCACATTTAGAGCAGTTTATTGGAGAGATTCCTTTCACAGTGAGCGTTAACGAACGAATGAAAGAAGAGCGCGTGCGCGCCGGCGACACACATGTCCAAAAGACCTCACTCGAGAAACCCGGCCC